TATTTGTTAAAACACAGAAAGCAACTTATTGTACGAGGTGTGAATACAGGAGGTACTAGCCCTCTTTGATTTTAGGAGTTTATGCTTCATAAATCATAAAGGAAACGATGCCTCTGTAGGATTAAACTGTGCAAAAAGAATGAGCTATTTGCCTCACAATGTGAAAGTGAAGACCATCTAAACAGGTGAAACCAATCAAAGTTCACAAACACCCCTTTTGCATTATATTCATTTCTTTCAAGTCATTACATAAGCAAAAAGAAGATTGCTATCCATGCATGGTCTGTTGCTTGTACTTGGAAATAATATACTATTGCAGATGAACAATCAGATTTTTACCTCTCTATTGATAAACTAACAGCACTATATACATGATACCTAGATATTTTCCAAAGAATAAGTTCAGATAATAATGATGCATAACATCAACCCCAAAAAATGTTATTACACAACCATCAGCCCCATAACCATAACTATAGACTACACAACCATAACAAAAAATAGTCTACAATGATGGATAACATCAGCCCCAAAAAATGTTATTACCAGCTATTACCAAAAAATAGTCCACAATGACCACAAGTTACCAAAAACTACACATCAGCCATAACCATAACCATAAACTACACAACCATAACAAAAAACAGTCCACAATGATGCATAACATCAGCCCCAAAAAATGCTATTACCAGCTATTACCAAAAAACAGTCCACAGTGACCACAAGTTACCAAAAACTACAATCAGCCATAACCATAACCATAAACTACACAACTATAACAAAAAATAGTCCACAATGATGCATAGCATCAGCCCCAAAAAAATGCTATTACCAGCTATTACCAAAAAACAGTCCACAGTGACCACAAGTTACCCAAAAACAGGTCACATCAGCCCTAAAAAATGGTATTATCAAAAACAGTCCACAATGATGCATAACATCAGCCCCAAAATCAATAAGTTAAAGGATCAGAATAGCAACAGTTCACATTAGTATTGTAATTCAATTATTCGTATGAGAAGGATGCATTACCAGCTATTACTACCAGATGCATTTCCATTGCCTTGGTTCTTGGATTGCAATTCTGCTCGTAAATCCTTAAGGAGTTCCTGCATTTCAAGCTGCTGGTTTTGCATTTCAGCTTGTTGATTCTCAAGCCTTTGCATCAACTGTTGTTGAGATTGGACTTGAACTTCCAATTCAATTGATCGTTTCTCAACTTGTTCTGCCCTTTTCTTGAATTCTTCTATCTCTGTAAATTTTTGTGTAATTAAACTAGCCTTGGAGGGGCCACGACCACGTACATATCCAGTTATACGCCTAGTCACCTCAATACAGATGTCTTCTTCGGTTCGATTTACACCACTAGATTGAGCTTCTAGCTGTAAGTCCTTCATTTTGCTCTACAATCACAGGTTTGCTATTATTGATATATGCATAAGAGACATGAAGCATTGGTATTCAGTTGAAAGTGATATTTTTCTTACCAGTTTTTCAGCTGATGTCTCGTCAACCATAGCATTCTTCTTTCGACTAAAATGTGTCATGTCATAAAGTTCAATTGGTCCAACTGTCCTTCCCTCCTTAGCTTCCTATTAGCAAAACAGGTTAAATAACCCAACCACACATCATAAATGAACTACTTTACACGTTTACTGACCCGGTCATCCTTATGACGTAAAAATGATTTTGTTCCAGCTGAATGGGCAGTTTGCTGCTTTGATCTGTTCAGCTTATTTCACTCACTTAAGGCCTACAATTGTCAATTCTATCTCAGATCTAGATAAAAAAGAGACATTGGCAAAGTATATAGCAAATTAACAAGTATGTGCTACACATACCTTGAATTCTGGACTACAATAGTAATCGCAAAGGTAAATCCAATCTGATTCTTCCACATATTCTGGTCGACGTGCAAGAGCTTCCTCCTTAGAGCCACATTTTTTGAATAGCATGTGAAAATTATAACGTCGACTTCTATACTGTGAATTTAATTGCTTAATTAAAGCTGGTTTCACATGCTCTCCTCCATCATAAGTGAAACTATTCTGAATTAAAAATAGAAGGACATATCAAAATCAGAAAAAATTAATGGACTAATTTAAATTGCGTCTAGAAAACCAAAAAATACTATGATAGCAGATTCTTACATTAGTAATTCTTAACAGTTGATCTCTATCATCTTTAGGAAGCTTGCCCCATTTAGGTGCTTTCCACTTGCCATACTTTCGAATAACACAGCTTGCCTCTGAAATGTATCGCTGAGCACCTTCTCCAACTAGTCGTCCACTTATTTCAGAAACATTAATGTTCACCTTTTTTCCAGCTTTCTTTTCATTTGATAGTGCAATATTACACGTATATCCTCTTTTTCTTTTTAACGTCACTTGGTCTAGTAGATACAAAGTAAACAAGACCATCAGTGCTAACAATAGCAGCCATGGCAATAATTAGTTAATTAGAGTAGAATTACACGTAAAACTGACATACCTAAACCGTTTGACTCAAGGTCTTGCATACTTTCAGTTTCATTGCTTTCACAACCAATAGCTTGATTAGATCCAACATGCTGTGAAGTAGGAGTTCCATCAGTTTGCATCCCGGCAGCTTCTTGTGATGTCATTCCATTGCCTGAAGATTTTTCAGTAATCTGTCTACTCTCAGCTTGTATACCTGAATTTCTTGTAGCATTTTCTCTAGCAGAGGATGCACTAGGAATCTATAATCCAACAATTTAAGCCACCATTATACAGCGACATGTAAAAGTTGGATCAATTGCTTTGTCATAAACCAGTTTATCTAAATGGCAGATTGAAAAAAATAATAACTAACCTCAGATTCATCAAATAGACGGATCCTAGAAGACTTTTTTGTTAATACAGGTTCAGTGACATTGCTTGTCTTGGGAATTGCACTATTTTTTGGTTCACTAGCTTGCTACAATTACATAAGAATATGCTTATCAATAGTAACTAGCTTAGGAAAAAAGAAAATATCTGGAAATGACTCTTGTTTCTTTACCTGACAGCTTACATTTTCTTCAGTTTGCTCCACAATCCCTCGCCCAGCATCCCGACTTTGTCGTAAAGTAAATTTTCCCTTCTTCCCTGGTCTAGCCATCTATCTACATAATCATATAACGCAAGCACCACCAAAATCGTAAACAACACAAGCAGCCATGACAACATATCATAAACTACAGAAAAAATACAAGAAAAATTTTGATTAAGAAATTCAATGAACAACATTGTTTAATCTGATTCATAGTCATCGATTTGTACAAATTGTTCATTTTCATCCTCAGAATTGAATTGTTGCTCAATTTCCTCATCATTATCAATAAAATTGTCATCCAATTGCCTTGCACGGCTAGCTGACAATTCTATAAAAAACATAGCACCAGCCTCTATCTTTTCTTCAGTTTGCACATCTCCTCTCTTCAAACTGACCAACTCAAGATTTTCTTGTACACCAATCAAATCTTCATGATACTCTTCTTGGTAAGCCTCTAAGTTATCAACCAAATCATCTTCATGCTTCTCAGGAACATCATAAGATGAGCGTGGACTAACTAACTCTACAACATGACAATTACCTCCAAGCTTCATATCTTGAAGATAGAAAACTTGTTCAGCTTGGGATGCTAATATAAAAGGCTGGTCTGAGTACCATGTTTTTGACATGTTGATACTAGTGACATTGCTCTGCTTGTCTACCTTGATTCCCGAATTATTTCTCAAGTCCCACCAATCACATTTAAACACAACTACTCGATTTTGAGTAAATGAGTATTCAACCTCAACTATACCAGTAATTATACCATAGAAGTATGTTTCTTTATCAGCATGCTCCCCCTTTACCATAACTCCACTATTTTGTGTCTTTCTTACTCTTTCCCGAGCCTTAATGTGGAATCTAAATCCATTCACATTACAGCCAGCAAATGTATTGACTCAAAAATCAGGTCCTCTAGCCAAGGACAACAATTCATCAGTACATTCTCCACGTGCATGTGTATACATGACCTACATCAGCCATACCAGATTCTTTAATAGTTTACTAAAATAAAAAGTAAAGGAAATTGACAAGTTTTTAACATCTCTTCCAATACTTACACGTTCTTCAAACCACCTTGGAAACTCCGAGTCTAGCCTTTGCTGTACGCTCGATAAATTTTGCTTTTCAAGAATTTGTCTATACTCCCTAAATTTGTAGTAGTAGAAGTAGTTACATATTCTATCAAATGACTTTAATTACAAGCAATGAAGAACATATTATAGAACACCGAATAGATTTAACATTAAAGTATATTATTACCTCATGTAATCACCTACTTCTTCACAATTTTTCAAGATGAACAGGTGTATTCTTTGCAATTCAACCTCACTTAGATAACCAATCAGTGCTGCCCCAAAAGGCCGAGCCAAGCTAGAAAATATAGATAATTTTCCAGCAGTTTCGTGTTTCTCCATATTTCGTTCCGTTTGATTAAACATGGTCGGAACATCATGCAAATACCTAGAAATGAATGTAAGACATTCATCATCCAAGTAGCGCTCAGCTATACAGCCTTCAGGTCGTGCCCTATTATTCACATAGCCTTTGTATTGACCCATTTCTCTATCCAAAAAAAATTCAGCCCGAGTTGTTAGAAAATAAGAAAATTGGAGGTAAATCAAATAGGCATTATTAAAAATAAGAGGCATGTACCTCTCAAATGGAAACATCCACCAGTATTGGGTTGGTCCAGCAATCTTGGATACAGTGGGTAAATGGACCATTAAATGGACCATTACATCAAAGAAATTTGGAGGAAAAATTTTCTCAAGTTTGCATAGTATTAAAATAATATTTTTTTCCTGCATTTCCAGCTCATCTAGATAGAGAGTTCGAGAACAAATTTTTCGAAAAAAATTACTGATCTCTACTAAAATCTGAGATACATCTTTTGACAGCATTCCTCTAGTTGCTAGTGGAAGAAGTCGTTGTATGAACACATATTAGTCATGACTCTTCATTCCTAAAAGTTGACACTCCATGGTCTTCACACACCGAGGAATGTTTGAAGCAAAGCCATCCGGGAACTTGATAGTGCTAAAAAACTGGCAGAAATTCTTTTTCTCTAGGCGTGATAAAGTGTAAGATGCAGGTGGCATAACTTTAGATGCGCCACCTCCCGGTTGTAGATGCAACTCTTCCCTTAATCCCATTTCTTTTAAATCCTCCCTAGCCTGCCATATGTCCTTAGTTCTCGAAGGGATATTCATTAATGTACCTACCAAAGATTCACATAGATTCTTGACAATGTGCATAATATGCAAATTATGTCTAATTTTATTGGTACTCCAATATGGAAGTTCAAAGAATATGCTCATCTTCTTCCAATTTGAACTGTTCTGCACGCGTTTTCTTTTCTTCTGTTGCAGCAAATCAGGTGCCTTGCCAAACTCAACTTGCTCAATACGAAGAAGTTGTTGGAGGACTTCCTCACCTGATAGGGTCCTAGGAGGCTGTCTATGTTCTCTTTCTCCATTAAATTGCTTTTTTTTTCGACGCCATTTATGATCAATAGGCAGAAAACGGCGATGGCCCATGTAACAACATTTGTGACCATTATTAAGATATAGACTAGTCGTCTCATCTAAGCACACAGGACATGCCTTGTACCTTTTTGTACTCCATCCCGACAAATAGCCATATGCTGGAAAATCGTTTATTGTCCACAAAAATGCTGCACGTAACATAAACTTCTCCACCCTGAAGGCATCATATGTCTCCACACCAGTGGCAAATAACTCTTTTAACTCATCAACTAGTGGTCTAAAGAATATGTCAATGTCATTTCCAGGTGCTTTGGGACCAGGAATAATCATTGATAGGAAAAAAAATGGATCTTTTAAGCATTTCCAATGAGGTAGATTGTAAGGAACAAGGATAACAGGCCATATACTGTATGAATTGCTCATGGTTCCAAAGGGATTAAAGCCATCACTAGCAAGTCCTAGCCTCACATTTCTAGGATCTTCAGCGAAGGACTTGTGATTTCTATCAAAATCCTTCCAAGCTAATGAATCAGCAGGGTGTCGCATCATGTTCTCATTATCTACACGTCTCTCCTTATGCCACCTCATATCCCGAGCAATCTCTTTGTTCACAAACAGTCTTTGCAGCCTTGGTTTTAATGGAAAATAATGCAACACCTTTCTAGGTATTTTGGAATTTGGAGATTTATACCGCGGTGCTTTACATTTTTCATTTGGACAATGATCAAGGCCTTTATTTTCATTCCAAAAAAGTGTGCAATCATTTTCACAGGCGTGGATCTTTTCACACTTCAGCCCCAACTCACGGATGAAATTTTTTGCCTTGTAATATGAACTGGGAATCAAAGCTATAGGAAATACTTGATGCAAGAACTTCAGCAACATATCAGTAGATTTACAAGTCCACCGATTCATTGTTTTCAAGTGGAGGATATGGACAATAAACGAGAGTTTTGAATACTTTTCACAGCCCGGGTATAGAGATTTTTCAGCCTCCGATAATAATCTGAGAAACCTACTTGCTTCTCCTTCTTTCTCGGTACAAGCACCCGTATCAAGTTCCGGTGAATGTCTCCAACTCTCACCAAAGTTAGCAACTCCTACATCATTTAACAGCTCCTCCATACTGTCAAAGTCACTATCGTTGTCATTTATTTCTATGTCATCATTCTCATCATCAGATTCAAACCCTTCGCCATGATATATCCACCTAGTATAACTATCAACAATTCCTCGACACAAGTGATTGGCCATGACTTCCTTAGTTTGATCCTCAAAATTATTGCATACTTTGCAAGGACATGGCAGTTTACAATTAGGATCCTTGCCTAGAAAAGCAAACTTGATAAATTCATCAACTCCATCTAAATACTTGGGGTCTAGGTAGTTCTTAATAGACATCCAACTCCTGTCCATATTGTTGCAGCCCTTTATCCTACCATAAAGAATATGACCGCCACATTATATAGAAAACAAATGCAGTGTAATATAAACTAAATTTAAACTCCTCAAATACCAGCAATGGGATCCAAGGTGTAAAACACATTTTTAGCAAAAATCAACCATCTCAAGTACAAATGCATTAGTAAGGCAACAAACTAAATAGAATCAGCAACCACAGTATACATGCAAAAGTTTGGCAAACAAAAGATAAAGCCATAACATGAATAATCAATTTCATAGGCTGATTTTGCTAGCTAACAGCACACTACATGTTCAAAAAACATAGGATCAGGCATCAAATATTTGTAAAGGGAAGATGCCCAACGCAGAAATAATAGAAGAGTAAAGCACAAATATAAATTTCAAGCCTGAATAATGGTAAGAAGGAACAGTACCTGAAACTCAGACCACTCAATTGGTTTCCTTTTCCTACCAAGAACATGAGCTATTTGCAATCTTAGCACCGCTCCAGATGCAGCAGTATGTGCCTTTACAAGAACCTCCTTATATCTGGTCTGAAATGCAACTGGGAGAAAACGTCCAGTGCTTTTGTCACCAACCCTGTTTATCAAGAATATCCCCAATTATATGGTAAGCCACTAATGTCTTGTATAATTAGTGGTAGGAATTAAGTCTTCAGATTAATTCTAGAGAGAGAGAGAGAGCGAGAGATTAAAGTATGTGAGTTTGATTGAAGCAATAATAATTTCTAGAAGATATTTTCATCTATCTCATGTGTCGGTTCATTTAAGGCTAGGAAACTGATTCGTAGCAGAAATTTATTCACATGTTCAGATGTAAAATAACACTAGAGTTATGTTTTCTTTCTTCTGTTTTCTATTTTAAATGCCATTTTCCCCTGATGTGGATCAGCCGTTTTGGTCGGTAAATGTGGAGTGAGATACATATATATATATATATATATATTTTTTTTTTTTGGGGTGGGTCAAGTCCAAATATGATAATGTAGAAAGGATCAAAGCTGGCTAGGAAGTCTGTTGGTTACAGTGGGTCTAATCTACTAATTCCCATGATTTGACTCAATGGTCACATTTTTCTTGCCGTGGGTCATTTTCTTCTAAGTCTGATCCACAAACACAATAATAATAATATACTTTGCGGAGATATAGAACAAATTGAACAACTTTCCAATTTGGACAGAAATTATATATATAGTTCCTTGCAGGTTAGGTACATGATTTTATGTATGATTTTCGCATCCTTAGCTGAAAATTGTCTAAGGCTGTAAAATGTAAATTTTTCTAGAAATATAATTTGGGGTCAAAGAAACGATGAGCTAGGCATGAATATTGGAAGCCCTCAACGTTCAAAAGAATCTTCCATCATGGAATGCAACTACTCTCAACCCATATGGCTCAAGACTTGTAAAAGAATTCTTTATAATTAAGTTGACTGTACAGAGCGGAACGAAGGACTTAAACATACGCTCTGTTTTTCTTCCAGAAACGGGAAATGTGATACAATTTAGTAGCATTTTTGCTGTTTTCAACTTCAAAAGCCTGCTAACTTTTCCAGCATCTTCGCATATTAATGCCAAACAGCGTGCTGCATTCAAAGATCTCTTGTACATTTCGACTAAAACTAAACTTTCCTTGTCATATTAGATTTTCATTTACTACTAGTTTGCATGCCTTTCCACAAGATATTTCAAAAATGATAGGTTTTTTGAAATGATCGACAAGAATTGATAGTTCAGGAAAAATGACATAATAGTGGATATCAAAAGTTAGGGACATGTTAATGGCACTCTCTTATTTTATGAAATTATAATCAAAATGAAGAGTGAAGATCTTTTTATCCTGTTACATAATAAAAAAACAAAAAGCTTGACAGGAGTGTTTTTAATATTTTCCTTCTGATCCACATCAGAAGGAACTGGAAGCTCCCCTGTGCTTCCTCGACATAAATAGAGGGGGCAAAAGAATGGGAAAAAAAAGGAGAGAAGAAAATGTAGTAGCATGGCTAACAATTTGACAGACGTTTAAGACTCGAATAGACAGCTTCTCAAACCTGATCGATGCACCAATCAAGCGGACTCCTCTTCGAAATAACGGACATCCAACTCAACGACCAATCACGCTTGCAGAAATGAACTTGAAACAAATCAGCCACAGGTTAGATGAATCAAGTCGAGCGGGGGGAGTTCCGAGTACAACATAGCTATGATAGCATCTAATAATCAAGAGCTGCTAAAAGATTTTGGGCAGAAAATTGCAAAAAATATTGTAGAATATTAGGGATTTGGAAAAATTGGGGAAAATGTATAGGAGACAGAAAAACGAACCTTTCCAATGAAAACCTTGCCCTTTAATGCTGGACAGCCATGGTGATGCTAGTGAGAAGCCAGAGAACGGATTTGTTATGTGGGTGAAAGTATCAAGTGTCGTGCAGAAGCTCTGTTTTGTGCTCAGTGCAGAAGCTTGTTTGTTTCAGCTCGGTGAAAGTTTGTGTTGCTCAAGTGTTCCGTTGCTTTAACTCAGACCAAGTGTTCCGTTGCTTTTGTTTTCAGAATGTGTTCCGCTGCTTTGGTCTTTGCTTTGCTTTGGATATTGTTTTTGTTGCGCGGCACTTTCACTATGATTTGATCAAAATTTTGACTTTACTCATTTTCCCTCCATTTGATACCAAAAATCATGTTTTTTTTCTTGATTTGTAATATGGTTTGAACCATACATTTTAATGCTATAGTATTATTCTTTATTTTTTAGCAAAAAATAAAAATTTTCATCAACATAGGTGGCAAAATTTGTTAATTTCATATAATTGAAAATGTACTTTTATAATTTGCTAATATTTTATACTAATTTCTTATAATTGCAGCACTAAAGAACATCATGTAATTGAAAATAATTAAACTCAAATTATATGGTTATAACATAGTTTCAATAAAAATAATCATTTTCCCAACATTTGAGACCAATCATCATGCTTTTTTTATTTTTAATTTGGTTTGAAGCATAGATTTTATTGCTATAGTATTATTCTTTATTTTTTAGTACAAAAACACAAATTTTCATCAATATAGGTGGCAAAATTTGTTAATTACATATAAGTGAAAATATACTTTTATAATTTGCAAATATTTTAGCCCTGCAATTTTTTATAATTGCAGCACTAAAGTACATCATTAATTGAAAATAACGAAAGTCAAATTCTATGGTTATAACAGACTTTCATTAAAAATAATCAAATGCTATTAATAAGACATTATTGTTAAGTCAAAATCAAAGAAAATTTAGTGATGACATAATGTTATCACTAATTTATTCAAGATTATAATGACAAGAAAAGTCGTCACTAATTAAATTGCTAGTTTTTAATATTGTCAATTGCTAGTTTTTAATACTTTTGTGAAAATATTGATAATGGTTGAGAAAATTTTGTTACATTACCGCAAGTGATAAATGTACTTTTGTTCTTTTTCAAACATTTATTTTAATGTTTAATTTTGTTTAAAACTATTGTACTAGTATAGATTTGCAAGACAAAACTTAAGTTCTCAATAGTTAAAAAATTCATTACAGAGAAAACACAAAGTAGTAGTTGCAAAATGTGTATAAATTACAGATATTTTAATGTGTATAAATTACAGTTTATTTTAATGTTTAATTTTGTTTGAAACTATTTTACTAGTATAGATTTGCAAGACATAGATTTATGGGTAATTTCTTTTTTTTTTTTTTTCTTTCACATATTTAATCTATGTTAAATACAAAACCTATCAGTTTCCCTTTCATAAAAATATTAGTGCAACACTTTTTGAATTTTACTTACAAAAATTTATGTATTTAACATAAATAAAATAATTCAGAGTGAAATGCCCATAAAGAGCAGAATATTTGTTCATGTAATGGAGGAAACCCACAAAGAGTTGGTACTTTATGGGCCATTTCTTTTTTTAAAATTATTTAATTTATGTTGAAAAGATAACCTGCCAGTTTTCGTTTTGTAAGAAATCAGTGTAACACTTTTTGAATTTTACTTACAAACATTTATAAATTTATCATAAATTATATGTTTGAGAGTAAAATGCCCATAAAAAGTTAGTACTTTGAATAGATAATACTCATTTGCCCATAAACTACACTCCCTGAAGGCTATTTTGTTAATTACTTTGTAGTACTTTGTTATTCCTTTGCTAATACTACTTGGCATGTAGTACAAAGGATAAATCTGGCATAAATTTCTTATTCCATTGATAAAAAGACCTGTCTGCCTTATAACTATTGTAATGAAAGATATATCTTTAGAGTTTATAACAAATTATTATTTAAGTTTGAGAAAATTATAAAATATTTATGCATAGTTTATCAAGATACCATTCGCAATTTCCTAATAAAAAAATAGGGGCTAAATTGTAAAAGTTAGGGTGCCATAATAGAAATAATAAAATTGGTGTATTACATATGGGGGTTAAATTGCAAAAGTTAGAGTGCCATAGTAGAATTACTGAAATTGGTGAATTACATATGGGGCTAAATTACAAAAGTTAGGGAGTAATAATAGAATTAAAAAAATCGGTGTACTATATATGGGGCTAAATTGTAAAAGTTAAGGTATCATAATGGAATTAATGGAATTTTTTACAATATTTGGGGCTAAATCGCAAAAGTTAGGGTGGCACAGTAGAATTAATGAAAGTGACTTAGAAATAAGTACTTTAAACAGTGACGATCAATTCTTGTCACTAAATCCGAATCGGTAGAGTGACAGTGACGATATTAGAAGTTGTCACTATATAGATCATTTTAGTGACAACTTTTTCAAGGTCGTCACTAAAGACTTAGTTGCTTTGAACAATTATGACAACTTTCCTTGTCGTCACAAAATAACCACGTTTTGAGTCGTCACTAAAAAATGTTGTCACTAATGACCATATTTCTTGCAGTGTAATTTGTGACGAAAATAACCGGTCGTCACTAAACATTTAGTTGCTTTGATGCAATTGTGAC